AATGTTTCTCTCATTCCTCCGGCTGTATCTTCCTACTTTAATTAATGTATTCTGTAAATCCAGCAGTAAAGCTGTGTCTTGAGTTTCATGGAGACCTGCCGGGGAGTCCTCCATTTTGGATCCTATTGCTGCCTCCCTCACACACGCCATCATGACAATCATATTACAAAAGCTTTGAAATGGTTGCACTGGCTTCCTGTATGTAAAAGAACTGATTTGGAAATACTGTTAATGGGTCATGATCACTAAACAGTCTTGGGCCTCAACACGTTGCTAACTTACTTGAGGGCTATGAGGCTTCGAAGCCTCTTAGTTCCTCGGGAACAGGCTTACTTAATATTCCAGGAGCTCGGACCAAACAAGGTGAGACAGCATTTAGTGTTTATGCTTCCCTCAAACCTGCAGTGTGTGGAATCTATTAGCTTTTAAAATCAGGGCTGAAATCTTTGTCTTTTTGTAGCTTTTATGTTAAATTTTAACTTAAACTTTTAAATGATTGCATTCTTGATTTTAATGTTTTCCTTTTCTATATATTTGGGATTGTTCTGTCTTTGTGAAGCACGCTGAATTGCTTTTGTATGTGTTATATAAATAAAGCTGAGTTTGTCCGATGGATTTTCTTCGATCAGTGATGAATAGTGAGATGTTCTAGCCTTAGAAGTGCTTTTTTACAGGCCTTCAACTGACAGTCCAGCGCATGCACTTTGGATATTAATATATAAATATATATATATAGATATATAAATTTTATTATTGCAGTCAAGCAGTACAGTCCCAGTGGTTCTGTATAGCAGTTTATTCACAGTAACACTTTTTACTCCTCAGTTCAAGACATAACAAAAGTTTCAGGCATCGAGACATCTTAACAAAGGAACAAACAAACAGATCATATTTGGCAAAAAGTTTCCAGCCATGCATTTAAGAGACATGAGAAACATAATCAGCAGCAAACACGAGAAGTGACGTGAAGAGAGGAGGTCGCCTCCTTTCAGCAGGGAGACAGAGGCGTTTCAAGGCTCAAAGGATTACTCCGCTGCTGAAAATAGTCCCTCGGATGCTGCACCAGTTTGAACATGGAAGTCCCACAAAGTATCCCTCCAGCTTTTATTGTGAAGGATCAACACTCAGACCAGTGAAACTCATTTCTGCAGCTGGAAAGTAAGCGAACCAAAAACTGCAGTGTACAGATTTCTCCTTTAAATAACACAAAGCACGAGAAAAGTGACGCCCATCCTCTCATCCGCCGCCTCTGCTCACTCAGACGTTCACACAGGTAATAAATAAGATAAAACACTTCAGGTGTTTCCCACGCTGGTCTTCAGTCTGAGGGGGTTTCAGTGTTAAAGGAACAGTCAGATTTCTTCCAGAGTCTGAGGAGATGGAGACGACTTTCAAGTCTGTGCATCGAGTACAGGAAGTGAATGTCATTTATGTAGCACCGGCTAACAACTTTGCTCCTCTCAAGGTGTTTTATTTAAGCGTAGAGTATCAGCAAGAACACCTGTGATGGAGCCTGATCTAAAAGCAGCGCCCGTCTGCTGAACCCAAAGCTTCAGAAGATTATTGTGACCGTAGCTGCAAACTACCCAAACTAACGAGCGTCTGAGGCCTGGAGAAAGTTCCTGCTTCGAACGCAAGCTGGACACACAGACCTGAAGCGTGCGTCAGCCTTCGTCTCCGAAGCTTCCTAATGAGCTCGGATCTCAAACTGTCCGACTGTTCCTTTAACTTTCCACAGGAAACCAGCCGAGAAGCTAAGTTATCCCTCTGACTGCTGAAACCCCGCCCTCACAGAGACCAGCGTGCGAAACAGCTCGTTACTCCCTCAGAGGTCATGAAAGAGCACAAAGAGCAGACCCCGCCAACCCAACGCCCGCCTTCAGGAGGTGCCGTCTCTCACTGCGATGCTGATGTTCAAAGGTAGTCCCGGCAAGACCGGCGTCCTCTGCGCGGGGTTCAGTGGGCGGAGTCAGTTGAACGCCTCCTTGTTGATCCACATCAGGGTCCGCGTCTCGTTGGGCTTGCACTCGTACTCGATGCTGCTGAACTTGTTGCCGAACTGGCAGTGCTCCCTCTTGTAGTAGTTGTAGTATTTGGCCTGCCACACCGTCTCAAACGTCCCCGCCTTGATAAACTGCACCGAGACACAAAGCAGAGGGCTCGAGCTCAAATTCGGCGTCAGGCTTTTAAAACAGATTTTTGGTGTTTCTAAAGAGGCCAAACTCATGAATCCAGACGGCGTGCGCAGCCATCTGCTGACAGGAAACTGCACAAACGCGTCTGATTGTAGATCTATAAATCTGTGCAGCTGTCACACGGTGATAATACCACCTTAGATTATATTTTTTCTCTCGAGAAGTATAAACAGGTCAGGAATTTAGATGCAAATGTTTCTGAACACGTCCTCTCTGTTTGCTCAGGTTCCTGCGTAGAAACACACGAGGTGAATAAGCTGCTCAGGCTGTTTAACACCACTGATTTACTTTGAAATGCTGCACAAAGTGTGTGTTTGGAGGCGTCTCCTAAACTGTCCAATGCTTTTATGTGTTTTTATTGGAAAGGTTGCAACTACACAGGCTCTCGTCTCTGAGTCTGACCCCTCGGTCTCAGTCTTGCTCTGCTGTCACTCTTTCTTGTTTAGAGGATGTTGTTGGCCACCTGAGGCCCTCTGGTTCTCCAGATCATCCTGTCCCTCCACCATGTTTTAAGGAGATTGTGGCTAGCATAGAGCAGGCTGTTCAGGCTATCATAAACAGCATGCCTGCTAATTCTAAGCGTGCAGCCCCACACAGCGCTGGCTGACTGCAGGCCAGCTCCACGCTATCAGAGCGAGCCGCTGCTCTGAGACATCTCACCTCTATGCTGACTTGGACGGGCTGCCGGTCGCCACTCTTGGTGTGCGGGACGCCCTCGGTGTCGTACTGGCCGTGGTAAACCACCGACTCGTCGTCCCTGGACTGCTGCTCCAGCGGGAAGACGACGCCTCCGATGTTCATGTTGCTGTGAGGAAGAAGAGGCCGAAGGGTTATGCACGAAAATAAAAATATTGCACATTTTTATCATTTTTGACATTTTGTCTCAAACACTGTTAAAGACCGTTTGATGTCCAGCAGCGAGCCGAGCGTGTGACGTGAGAGCGACTCCCACAGTATGAAGGAAACAGGAAACAGCCACTCGCATCTAAAAGTCATTAAAATCATCCAGATGTGTAAATGCTGCGAAACGCTTCATAAACGGTTCGGTGGATTTAATTTGTAATTAAAATGTAATTATAGTCACACAGCATAAGGAGAAAAGGAGTCAGGTTACCTCAGAATCGCAGACGTGATTTTACTGTAAGCACATTGGAATAGTTCGCATCCCTGCAGCTCACAGCGTAAACACAGCGCATGTTGAACTGCACATTTGGATTTGCTGTTCTTTATGCTGATGATAACGGCTGTCCTGACCAGCTTGTTTCCCTTTCACACTCCTCTCCTGTACGATACCTGCGACCTGAAAAGTGCAGCGTACTCGGGTGTGTGTACTTCCTGTCGGCCTCCACCTGTGTGTCCTCCCTGTTTGTGTCAGTTTGGAGTTTTCCTTTCATGTCTCTCGTTTACCCACGAAGCCTGTTAACCTGCTACCGTCACCATGGTAACTGATGCTGAACACCTGAAGCAGAGTGTAACGTCAGTGTGGGACTCACTGCTGCTGTGACAGGAGGTCCGCCCCCTCGCTGTGGGCGGATCTTTACTCTCACAGTTACAACGATGGCTCCTGCAGGGCCCACAAATCACTGCCACATATCAATATGCACCTTTATTTAACTGATAGTACTTCAGTGTTTTTACATGTAATGGAGTATTCTCTGATGGTATTTCTGCTCCTGCAATAAGCACATTTTACCCCCGTTATTCCATAATGAACACGTCACTTCCTTTATTTGTCCCCGGTAACCGCAAACCTCCGCCCTGACCGGGAACGACACGTGATCCCCGCATGATTTATTCAGGCAGGTGTCGGATGCTCCGGCCTGCAGGAGGAGCAGCAGCCTGCTCCTCATCATCACCTCCTCATCCTCATCATCACCTCTTGCAGACGTTCTTTATCATTTCTCGCACATGCGCGCTGGCGTGCCGCACACACAGGTTACCGAGATGCTTACGTGGCCTCGACGTTTCCAGGCTTCAGCACCACCTCGATCTTGTACTTGGAGCCCGTGAGGAGCTTGATGGTCCGGCTCTGGCCGAACCGGGTCCCGTCCACCTTGAAGAAGACCGGGCCGTCGTTGGGCTGGATCCGCAGCGCGATGGAGATGTTGATGATCGGGGGGACGTCGTCCATGGCGCCGAGCTCAGGGAGGGGGAGGCGGACGCGTGAGAGAGATGCTGAGGAAGGACCAGAATCAAGCTGCACGCTCACACGGCTTCCGGTGACAGCTGCTTTCAAAATAAAAGACTGCAGCTGCAAATACCAAGGCAAATGTGTGTGTGTGTGTGTGTGTGTGTGTGTGTGTGGGGGGGGGGGGGGGGGGGGTCAATAAATGTCACCGGTGGGCTGTTATTAAAAAAAATAAGTTTATCTGACAGTCGGGAAATTTGTAAAAGGTTAAAAACAAAAGAACAAGTTTAACGAAGAGCTTGTGAAACTGAATGTGACATAAAACAGGTTAGACAGAAAAACACAACACCTGTGCACGCGCAACATGACGTCACAGGCAGGAAATGACCGGGAGATGAAAATATGTTCACACCGCTGCCGGTAAAACGCTGTCCCCTCGTTGCCAAAGCAACATCTTTGTTACCTTTGAGCAAAAACGTTAAAAACAGATAAAAACAGCTGATTTAAGTAAACTTGAGGTCCCGCGTGTCCGTAAGCTGCAGGTGTGACTTTATGCTTTTATATCTCTGCTGCTTTGAAATCACAGACTGTCACACTGATGTCTTTGTGAGTCTGTGCTGCGTGTTTGCTTGAGGGGAGAAGCTGTGATGTGTCATTAAAAAGAACCGAGTCAGCAGAACCTCACGAAGATGGTTTATTGAATCATCGTCATATTTACACGAACCCAAAACAAAAAGGCTCAAATTTAAAAATAAAAAATTCACTTTGCTTCTCTGTGATTTTTTTCTATAAAAATTTTAAAAGTATGTACAAAAGTTTGCGTTTCCTGTGAAACACAAACTGCAGAGGGAATATATTAGAGTTAAAAAACCGAAGTGCTCGAGGTGCTTTGATAAAACTGGAACGCCGTCATCGATCCAGCTCGGCCTGCAGGATCTCGCCCCAGGTCTCCGTGTCCAGAGGCGTCAGCTTCCTGCCGCTCAGCTCGTCCGCCGACCTCACGTGGCTGAACCGTCCAATCAGCCAGTCTTTCTTCACAAGGCTGCGGATGTAGTTCCTCACCAGGATCAGCTGAGGACAGGAAACAGGAAACGGTCAGAAAGCAGTTCTGCTGTTTCTGGGTGACGCTGCTTTCATAAGCTGGACTAAAAGCAGTTTTTAATAATGACATTAAAAGAAATGGCTGCAGCGTCTGACATGTGGACAAGTCTTCACTCCGCTCTGTTTCACAGGCAGAACTAACAGTTATAAAGTTATGAGTATATCCAACACTTCAGCCACAGGTTCTGCCCCTCAGCAGCCTTCCAGCAGAAGCCCAATCAGACGAAAGCTGATGGCTCTCAGAGCTGCTTCATCCCAGCAAAATAATTCCCAGCTGACTGTCACTATTCCAGGCCAGGGATCCTTTGGGGAAATTATTCAAAATTTCAGCTCAAACAAAGGGCGAAGTGTTCTTAGACATTTTCCAACAATATATTTTGAGGGACTTAAAGCTTGAATATGAAAAGAAAACAACATGTCTTCAGCGTGACGTTCCACAGGTGTGACACCGTGGACCAAACCTAACTTCATAGAACGTTTCTGTGAAACCTGCATCCCAAGTTTGTGATGCTTTTTGGAATATTCAGGATTTAATGTGCATAAATCAACTAGTCTGATACGAAAACCTGGAGATCAAATCTCAGCTCTGACCTGCAAACCTGCTGACACAGGTCACGTGACCTTCATCAGCATCAGATCCCTCAGAAAAACATCGATGGAAAAATGTTTAAAACCTCTGACCTTCATCCCTTTTTGACTAATGACTGCAGGACCTGAAATGAGCGTAGTTCCTGTTTGAAGCAGATCATTAACCTGGAAAAGTTTCAGAAGAATCTGAGATGTTTTCTAAGACATAATATGTTAGGAACCTTCCAGGAGAGGCCGTGTCTCCGGTCGCTGTCGACCTCCCTCTGGCAGATGGCTCGGACCATCAGGCACTGCTTCCTCCACAGCTGCTCGCTCTGCTCGATGATCTGATGCCACAGCCTGCAGGTCCTCGCCGCGCTGCACAGGCTCGCCGCGTCCAGCTCGCCAAAGATCCTCACGCTCATTTCTGTCGGCAGCATCTCGGCAAAGTTGCGAGGTGGGGCTGTGCCTTCGGCTGCCGTCAGGGCGGGGCCTCCTTCACAGAGAAAAAACACTGGTGGAGTCCTCCCACACACATGCTGCATAATAGAGTCGGATTGAGTGGAAGAGCCTGAGGAAAGAGCCGACAGCGATGGAGAAATGAGTCACAGATTAAAGACCTCAGACTTTTAACTCACACTGTGGAGGTCGAGTGAAGGATGAAGACAAATCACAGTGAAGCCTGAGATTCTTCATCAAACATGTTGCAAAGCACAGACGCAGGAAAAGCGAAATAAAATGCAGGTTTGTTTTTTATGACATCACAAAGACAGAAAGGTTCAAGATGAGCCTGTGAGCTGAAAAAGAGACAAAATGACTGAAATGAGCGAGAAAAGAAAGAAAAAGACCTCCGAGAGAGTAGCGACGAGAAGATCCAGCTGCCAAATAATGAAGACTTCACACAAAATAAGCAGAAAAAAAGCGAAAAGTTTGGAAACCAGGACACAAAGGACTGTGAGACGAAGGTGAAGGGCTCCCACGTCAAACCGAAAGAGAAACACGAACAGTGGGGTCCCCACGGACCCAGCCTGGATACGTCACCCAAGGACAAACTGCTTCCCGTGTCTGTCTTCAAAGACAGACGTGATAAATATCCCCGTTGTTTCCGTCCTGCGTGGCTCTTTTGGCCGACGCTCTGATTTTCGGTAACAAAAGCTGATTTTAATGCTTCACCCCGACCACTCGCCTCCGCCCCTGCTAACAGCTAACAGTTCATGAAAAACTCCACCGGCCGCTTCCGCTTTCAGACCGAACACCGACTTTTACCGTGCACGTGTCCCGGTGTGTGTGATAAGAAGGCGGCGGCGCGCGAGAGAAAACCGGTGTCTTACCGTCCGCGAGGTCTCTGACAGACAGCTCACACGGTTTAAATGTCCTAACGGATGTTTACAAACGTACGCTACGTCATCATATTTTGATTTTTGGCGCATGCGTGCAAGGCATAAACGTCCGTTAATTTAAATTTGAAAACCGTTGAAAATATGATTTTCTTAATTTTCTAATTATAAAATTAAACTGTAAAGCATTTCTCACGCTGCAGTTCTTAAGCAGTCCCTACCACATCCCATTCATTAATCTGCCGATTCTTCAAATATATGGAAAATGTGGAACTTTTTTTACGTTTGTTTGTATTTTTCATCGATAACTCACGTGCAACAACGCTGTCATATTAAAAGCATTTCGGCAGAAGAGATAAATGTTTTGTTTTTACAGATTAATTTCATCTGCATACACGGGGTGGTTAGCACAGGCAAGGTTAGGTTTATTTTTAAGGGAGATTAATAAAAGATCAGAGAGATTCTGGGCGGAGTTCGGTGAGTGACGTCAGAGACCCAGTGCGCACGCTCCGCTCCGACCCGGAAGTTTTGAACGGTGTTGCTGAGCTGAAGTTGTGTCGGTGCTGCTGCTCGGTCTGGTTCCCCTCCACAGTCCGAGAAGCTGCTTTTAACCTGAAACCTTTTGAACTGTCGAAGCGTGGCGCTGCTCTGTTTTCCTCCACGTTCCTCCAGCGGGGTGCAGCTGCCTCCGTCCGCTCCGCTGAGCCGATGTCTGGCTTCGACCTGGTCCCGGTGGACGGCGGGGATCCGGTCCACCTGCCACCCGGAGAGACGGTGTTGGGCCGGGGCCCGTTACTGGGAGTGAGTCCTCCTCTCCTCTTCAGTCTGAAAACATGACCGCGGATCATTTACAGACTTCTGCTCGTTACAGCAGCACGTGATCTTTAATCACGTGATACATCCAGGGAAGCTTAGCTTCACTTAAAAACATGATTTAAACCTCATAACTAATCAATAACAAAGTGACCAGACATGATCAGGTGGATCACTGATCTGCCGACGTAGAGAGGGCGGGGCTTCATAAGCTAGCACCTTGAACTTTGACCCTCCTCCGTCCTCCTGCCAGATGCTGCTCAGGTGTATCCTTTAAAACAGGGGAGGGGAATGCAACGCCTCGAGGTCCAGAGGTGTCCTTCATCCATTCATTTAAATGGCCTCCAGTTCTCCAGAGGCCTGGTGATGAACTAATCATCTGATCCAGGTGTGTTCACCCAGGGTGAGATCTAAACCCCACCCCTGCTTTATAAGGCTACAACGGGCCACTGTGCAAAAGTCTTGAGCCACCCATCATGTCTGTATAATTTGACCTGTTCCTGTTTAAAAAAACACAACTTAAAAAACATGAAATAAATGAAACTAAAGTCCACAGAAGAAAAAGTTCTAAACATGTTTGATCTGACCCGTCAGAGACAGCAGCGTGTGTGTTCGTGGACTCTGTTAGAGCAGCTCAGCATCATCACAGTGGGAAATGATCCGTCATGTGGGCGTGGCTTTGATGCAGCTTTTCCCTCTCTTGTTTTTCTGTCGTTGTTCTGAGACCTGGTTTGCTTCCCTTCATTCATCACGGCTGAGCTTGAGTCTGTTTGATTTATTCAGAGTAATACTGTAAAAGGAGCAGCTGGAGACGTCTGTAAACGCTGCCTTGTTTCCCGTCTCAGATCAGTGATAAGCGAGTCTCCAGACACCACGGGCTGCTGGACAACCTGAGCGGAGAGCTGCGCCTCAAAGCCGTACGTTCGTCCTTCCTCCTGTTCCTGAATGTGAGGCAGGCCACAGGTTTAGGTTTAGATTTCTTATTACATTAGCTTTATTACATAATCATTTTATTATTCAACATTATAGTAAATGTAGAAGTGTGGTTGTTTCATATCATAGAAATCTCCCTTTGCTTTAAATTCAGCCTTGGTCCCTGTTGCTTTGGAAGATTTTGTTTTTAATTCCATTATTATTATTATTATTATTGTTGTTGTTGTTGCTGTTTGAGTTTCGGTTTAACCTCCTGCTGTTTCGGTCCTCAGACACACCTGAACCCGTGCTTCATTCAGTCGACCCCCACCGATGACCCTCGACCTCTGCAGAAAGGTTCCTGGCACGTCCTTCGTCACGGAGACTTCTTCTCTCTGCTGCCGGGTCGGTTCATCTACGAGGTGGTGTCAGTGGGCGGAGACGAGCGCACACCCAGGTACTTCTGACGTCTGAAAAACGCTCCTTTCTGTCCTGATGTCGGTCGAGACAAAGACTCGAACCGTCTCGCTGAGTAATGAAGGTGGAGGCTGCGCTCAGGTAACGGGAGCTCTTTTATCTGTGCGGGCCGCGCCATGCGGGGTTAAACGCTCGGTCAGAACATTAGGCGCAGCGTAGGTTTCCGATTTTGTCGCGCTCTTTGAAGCTGACATCAAAGTTAATGCTTCCAGCTCACAGAAGTTCACATTTATCTGCATCAGTGTCGCTCCCCACAGGAACAGCCAGATGTTAGAAGAAGAAGAAGAGACACTTCCTGTTCCTCCTGATCCAGCTGTGGATCTACGTCCAGCTGCCAGACTGAACCAGGAGGAGCCGCCGCCGTCAGCAGCTCCGCAGGAAGACGAGGAGGCCGAGAGACCGTTCAAGGTAGGCTGAACTTTTCAGAGGCGAGAAGCTGCTGGAGAAGGACTCCTCAGGGGGCGGGGCCTAAGAGTGACGTCAGCAAGTGTGAATATTTAATCAAGGAGGCGCTTTCAGAGTGCAGGGTTAATGTGATGTGACAGAAACATGAAACTTTAGAACAGTTTGTTTTTTAACAAACAAAGTTATGAGACAAACAAACACTAACAGAAATAATCATCATCAGAACAGGACTTACTGTAAGAATAAAGGAAACTTTGGTTGACAGCAGCTCCTCCCTCGTTCACCAGGGGGCGCCACAGCAGGCGGCTTCACGTGTTTGATCCCACAGTGGGCGTGTCAGTGGCTCAGTGGATGGCAGTGTGAAAGCGAGCAGCCAATCAGTGAAGTCGTCTCGTTGCGTTTCTTTCAGGGAGACTCGGCAGGATCGGTGAAAGACGATCAGCGAGGCGCCGCTCCGTCTGTGACCAGGAGAAGAGTTTTACCTGCATGGATGCAGGCGGCTGTACCTGCTGCAAAGACTCCGCCCTCCACCCCGACAGGTAACAAAGACCCGTCCTGTGTTCCCTCTGCCTGCGGGGGGCGCCCTTTCTGATCCTGTTATTTGTTTGAAAATGTCTGTTTAGTTCGGACCTGCCGACCTGCAGCGCCGTCACCTGCCACTAAACGAGCAGCTGTCGCACGAGCCACGCCCGCAACAACCTCCTCACCTGAGGAGGCGGAGTTCACAAGGAAGGAGGAGGAGAGGCCGAGGAAGAGGAGAAAACTGAGTGATGACGAAGAACAACCTGAGGTGAGACCTGTTGAGCAGAGTTTCTGTTTCCAGGTTTAAATTCCGCCTCCTGACCTAAGAGACTAATATGTCCTCTGGCTTTCAGGAGGCCGCCGCCCACCGTCGGGCTAAACCGAACAGGTCTGAGGACAGCGGCGAGAACGACAGCTTCACCATGAAGGCGGAAGCGGAGGACAAAGTAAATGAGTCTGAGAAGGAGGGCAAGATGTCTGAAAACAACGGGACGTCTAAACGAGCCGAGCCCGCCGGGTCAGACGGAGACGCCGAGTCTGGCCCCGCCCCTTCCAAAGCCCGAGTCAGAACGCCGTGTCCGTACGGGACGGCCTGCTACAGGTACGACACTGAAACACACGGAGTCACAGGCTGAATTTATTCTGAGAGCTTTTGCTTTGATGTCTCGTTTCCCTCTGAAGACGAGCTGAAGAGCACTCGAGCCGATGAGGTGCGTCAAGCGCCTCTCGTAGCCCCGCCCCTTCACCATCTCACAGATGCCGCTCGCTGCCTCAGATTAGTCCTTCAGATTTCACTTTTAGAAAAATCTTTGAAACAAGGAGCAGCTGTCCTCACTGCAGTGACTCCAGCAGCTGGTTCCAGCCCACGGTGTGGTGCAGGCTGCATAGCAAACAGCTGCAGGTGACCGCCCTGCACAGGTGGGCTTCACACCCTTCGTTTCCTCCCTGCTTGTGTTTTCCAGGAAGAACCCACTTCATTTCCAGGACTGCAGTCACCCTGGAGACACAGACTACGAGGAGGAGGAGGAGGAGGACAAACCCGAGTGTCCTTACGGCAGCGACTGCTACAGGTTAGAGCTGAGCCGACGGCCGAGGCTCTGCAGCTGCTGACAAACAGCTGGATCAAACAGACACCAACGAGGAGCCTCAGAGATCACACATCAGGGTTTAGTTACTTAATAACTGCCTGCAGCACATTGTTGCTGTCAGAGAACACAAAGCTATTGATTTGATACTTTTTCTGTTTTATCTTCTTTTTATTGACTTTATTGCATAAAAACGAACGTTTTTGTAAAAACTGAGGGTCACTACGAAGGACACACACACACACACACACACACACACACACACACACACACACACACACACACACACACACACACACAGGGACACACACAGGGACATACAGGGACATACACACACACACACACACACACAGGGACACACAGGGACACACACACACAGGGACAGGGACACACACAGGGACACACAGGGACATACACACAGGGACACACAGGGACACACACACACACACACACACACACACACAGGGACACACAGGGACACACACACACACACAGGGACACACAGGGACACACACACACACAGACACACACAGGGACACACAGGGACACACACAGGGACACACACACACAGGGACACACACACACACAGGGACACACAGGGACATACACACACACACACACACACACACAGGGACACACAGGGACACACAGGGACACACACACACACACACACACAGGGACACACACACACACACACACAGGGACATACACACACAGGGACACACAGGGACACACACACACACACACACAGGGACACACACACACACACACACACAGGGACACACACACACAGGGACACACACACACACACAGGGACACACACACAGGGACACACACACACACACACACACAGGGA